TGGTGACAGGGGGACGAAGGAACAAGCTCTCTTCCCTCTTGGCTCAGGAGCTACCCTTAATGAAAGCCAGCTGATGGTGATCTGGCGTTGAAAGTCTGAGTGCCTTTCAAAGGAGCAGAAAAGGGGGCAGAGAGAAAGGAGAGGGACAAGCAGCAGCAACAGAGACAGACTGAGGAGCTGAAACACTTGGTTTTGGAGAAAAGGACTAAGTCTAGCTTTGAAGCCACTGAAAAGTGGCCATCTTTGGTTTTGATAGTGTTTTGTTGGTTTGGGGTGAAAATAAAGTGAAATGGCTTCTGCACTTTCTCCTGCCCCCAGCATCCTTCCTAAGCCCGGGGTAGCACAGGCAGTGCTACACGTTCGTTTATCTCCTACATCTGTCTTCTAGAGGGTTTTCCATCTACCCCTTTGTGCATGTTTTTAAAAATGCATTTGAAAAGACAAAATGGAAAAGTCAGAAAATTTAACAAAAATGCATAAATATTCCAAAAAATTACGTTTGGATGATGGAAAGTTGGAAGAGAAATGCCAGAAATATGAAGAAAACAGATTTTCAAATAAGTGATGACGTAGTGGGACTGATCATAACAAACACAGCAGCTTATGAAAACCATCAACTGCACCTCAAACTACATAGAATGTACAAAATAATATGCCAAATTAGTACGCCATCATTGGTGCCGTTACTGTTTTGAACATACTATTTAGTATGGTACTGTGCAAATTGACGTTCCCGGGTGTTTAGGTTTAGGTGTGCAAAGGTGAAGTGGAACAGCAGCTTCAGCCCTCATTAAATGGGTGACTGCCCACTGCGCCCAGCGTCTCTGAAGGGTTAGGGCTACAGTTGATTGAGGGCTGTCAAAACTGCTCTACCAAGAGCTACTAAAAAAGTTTAATAATAAAGTTTTTTAATGATAAAGTTTTTGAGACATGGTTTCCCATTTCTTATATTTACCCCTACCCCTTGTTTTCAAGTGTCACCGTCTATCTCAACTAAAATCGGGACACCCTACCCCCAGACATGAATGCGCAAATTGGAGGGGTAAGTGGTAGGGGTGAAATGGGATTGGGCCTTGGTTCGTCTTAAAGGTTCTTCCTCATGATTTTAGTAGAGTTTTTCCATTTGAGTCTTTGTTCCTCTCACTGGTTCTTCCTCATGACCTTAGGGGGTGTTTTTTGTCATTAGGGGCCGGACTTGCATGTCTGCAATGCTGTTTTGGGACAAAGTCTGTTGTAGGCAGAACCCTACAAATACATTTGAACTGAATAATGAGTAACACCCCTGCAAGTGGTAATACTGGATAAGGAGCATGTAGGCTCAGCCTCAGATGGACCGTTCACAAGAGGTTTGAAATTTGAAGGTGGCCATCAGAATTTTATCAGCTGAACTCTGATTGGACGTTGGATTTTTGTATGCACATGTATTTTTTATAGGAAGCATTGCTTAATGCTAGTAAATGGTCCTATCCTGTTAAAGTAGACGGTTCTTGGCCACTTGAGTGACGAAACTCACTCTCTGACAACAGTGAGAATAATAGGAAGTGATTTTCTATTTTCTCCTGCTACGCTTTTGAAACACTGACATTTACTCACGCAAATGGCATTTACCGAAGCACTGGATGAGATCTTTTGTGTAATAATAAAGGTGTGCGCTGTTTGTGTTTGCGTCTGTCTGTTACCTGATCTACAGTAACAATGCCAAAAGGGCAAGAGAGATGAATCGAGAAAGCTTCAGTGATTTGTTTGAACAACATGCAGGAGATTCGTCATGTGTACAAGCTGAAAAACCTCATCTGTTCAGACAAACAGCTCAGAGCTCTGGAGAAACTCAAAGAAGAAAAAAACACAAACAAACCCCAACAGGTTCATTTGGTGCTGGGATCTGTTTCACTACTAGACGCAAAACAATCAGAAAAGAGAACACAAAACTAAACAAAAAACAGAAATATGACAGAGAGAGACAGAGACAGAGGTAGAGCTAGGCCAGGAGTCGGCAACATGCTGTTCTTTTTTTCCACAGCAGAATTAGAAGTTTAGATAATAATAAAATAATCCTCCTTTGCAGTAAAATAAAGCTCTGCTCATCGTTCAACACAGTTTTAACAGTAAATGGTCTTAAACACTGGGGTTAATGTAGAACTGCTAATTCACCCTTTAACGTTGAAGGTTGGCATGCAGACTTCTGGTCAAGTGGTAGACAATAATCTCGTCTAGCTAGTAGCTAACGAACAGGCAAAGAGAAAGATTTAAGATGAACATCGATAATTTGGAGATGACTGGACTTATTTAATCTGCAACGAGAAACAGACAAACACTAAAAAGTCATGAGGCTGAAGTCAGCTTCTTGTTCGAATTGTCCCGTTCCACCTTAAATGGTGCAGAAGTTACATTCTGGCACCTCAGGCACCATTTAAGGTGGAACGGGAAAATTCAAACAAGAAGCTGGTGAATGAGAAGCGACTTTAGCTTCATGAAAAAAAAATCAAACATTGAGAGACGTTTTACAAGACACTTCTCTACTTTTGCAGAAAAGTTTCCTGCCAGAGATGTGAGAAAAGTGGCTAAAGCTGAGCTAAAGCTTAAAGCAGAGCAAAGTAAGTCTGGATTTTCTTTTATATTATATTTTTAGGCTATACTAGTACATTAGCACATACTGAGACATATTTACAGCCAAGATGGTAAAACAAACATAACATGTTGTGGCTCCCAAGGTGGTTTGATTTTTGTCGCAAGGACAAAATGGCTCTTCTTATCATTTTTGGTTGCCGACACATACTTTCTTATTAGCATTTATAAGTGATGATCAAATTTCTGGTAGATAACTTCCCAAGAAATTACTATAGATAGATCATTACAGTATATTATCTATGTTTTAATAAAACATAACAAAAACATAAAAAAAAATAACAAAAAATACTTTCTGGTATCTAGATTATAGTACTTTTTCTAGATTACATTAATTTTCATTTAATATTAGCCTGTTTCACAACGCGCTGCTCTACAATCCCCAGCATGCACTGCAACATTATGCGCTCCGACTCTCCTACCCCAACAACAGTCTATGGGACAGCAGTTACACCTCAGTACTAGACAATTCTACACAACTCCACTCAGTCATATCACCAAACACACTAGCTTGATTTCAGCTGCATTTCACCCAATATTAACACTTAACGTCAGCTCAGCAGCTCAGAAACAAGTCCTAACAAACTTGCAGCAAAGAAAGGATGTCTGGTGTCCAGTTCAAGCAGATAGGTAGGTTTGAAAGACTGAGCTCCAGCAGACATTTAAATTTTGAATATTTCAAATATTCATGTAATTTTTCAAGGTCAACTGCAAGTACCTGTATTTTACTGTTGAAGTTTTTGCATATTTTTAATAAACACTGGTCAGTTCAGGTTATAGCACAACATTAATTAAAAATGAAATAAAACATTTTTTTTCTCTGGCCCACAGATTTGTTGAGTTTTTCTAATATTGCGGTTTTACTCACTGAGTTTGACACCACTGGTCTAAACTGTATAAATTAAAATACATTAATGAATAAAATAACAGTAATTATTAATATGGTAAGTGATTCCAAACCTTTAAGTGCTAGCATATGTTCTTTAATAATTTCAAATGAAGGCTTTTTGTAATTAAAACTGAGACTTTTTGATCCAGGGTTCTTATCGTTAATGTTCTTGATACTTCATATGCAGTACTACACCTCAGTGTTACCCACCCTGGTCCTGGAGTACCATTGTCCTGTATATTGTAATGCTTTCCCTGCTTTAACATGCTCACTTTGTCTCAGTAAGAGGCTGTTCATGAGCTGATGGATTGGATTAGTTGGGTCAGGTGAGTTGGGAGCAATGAGGCCTCTAGAACCAGAGTTGGGAAACACTGCTGTGAATAAATCTACCAATACAGCTTAGTACACTGAATTGAGAAAGGGAGAAAGGGAGAGAGAGAGAGAGAGAGAGAGAGAGAGCTCAAAGATCAAAATTAGCCCTCTGGATGGGTCCTATAGGTGTGGGGAGGGGTGTGTCATGCTATGGACACATCTACAGCTGTTTTTTTTTTATCTGAAGAGCTTATAAATTTAGGGGGTGTGATTTCCGGAGTTTTTTTGTAAAAGGGCAGCACAGTTAGCATTAAAAAAAAAACTTTATTTGAGATTATGTCTGTTATTACCTGCTGTTATGGCAGTTCTATACTGTGGAACTTCTCTTTCACTTTCTCTGACCTTTCAGAATTCACTACACACTTCAAAAACAATTAAAAACAGATTTTTTTTATTTACCTTATGTTTTCATAAAAAAATATAACTCAAACATTTTTATTTATTTTTTTTTATTTTTGCCTTTAATTTTTTCTTCATTTATATATATATATATATATATATATATATATATATATATATATATATATATATATATTGTCTGAACAAAACCTTGTATCTCCAAAATGGTAAACTTACAGGAGAAGAAAAAAAGTACTTTACTTTTAATGTTATTCAATGGAACCAGAGTTTTTTCCAAGTCATTTTGGGTCACTTTTTTGGTCCATTCATCATAAAAGACAACAGGCATTTTTTTTAAATTATGTCAAAAACTGAGAAACAGCAAAAATGGAGATTTTAAATGGAGGTTTTATTCTGACAACAGCAGCACTGCTGTGTCTGATCCACTCAGACCAGCGCATTATATATATATATATATAAAACCGCATTGGATCTTGACCTCAGGATAGACAGAGAGAGAGAAAAAGAGAGAGAGAGAGAGAGAGAGGAATGAGGAGTGACAGAAGGTGCTCCCACTGTATGTGTGTGTAATCCAAAGAGCTAAATCTGGTTTTCAGACAGTGAGAGACAGACTGCATCAGATTAATCACAACTTATTACTGACACAGAGAGCGGGGGGTAGAGAGTCAGAGAGAGAGAGAGAGAGAGAGAGAGAGAAAGAGAGAAAGAGAGAGAGAGAGAGAGACAGTTCCAGTGTTAAAGTCTCTGCTCTTACCCCGCCAGCCGGGTTTACAGATGGGTTTGACGTGGATGTGGACGGTGGCGCTGCGCTTCGCCTTCTTCTGACCGCAATCAAACGCTGTCACACTGATCTCATAGTGCGACCGAGCGTCAAAACTCAGACTCTCTGTGTTCCTGATGTTACCTACACACAAACACATTCACACACACACACACACACACACACGCACACACACACACGCACACAGATTAATTGAGTCTTGAGGCAACGTCTGACCTTGTCCTTGAATGTTCACTTAAAGGCAAAACAGAATAAACAACACCATAACACCCCCAGGACTTGTGTGCAGGCACATGCACTGATAAACCCCAGAGGGGGGGCTTGAGCTCCTGCCTCTTTTCCCTGAGACTGTAAAAGTGGCCTCTTGTTAGTGTGTATAATAACTGTATTTCATATGAACAGAATCTCTTTAGAAAAGCATCACATTCCAAAATGTGGTTATTTTGAACATAATATCAGCAATAATGGACAAAACAAGTCCTTACACCAAGTTTTCATTGTGGTTAAAAACAAGTATTTATAGAGACTCTGTGGAGCTCGCAAATATAGTTATAACTAAACAGAGCTAATAGTACCTAATATTTCTCATTATGAGACTGTTGTAAGAATATTGTAAGATTATTTAACTTATTTCTAGACTTTTTTTACTTGTTTTTAAGCAGCTTTATCTTATAAAACTGTCTTCTTTCATTGTCAGATCATGTTACTTGTTTTAAGCATTACTTCTTGAAATTAGCAAAATTATCAAAATTATTTCTCAAAACAAGTAAACTAATTTAGAAATATTAGATTTATTGACTACATTTAAAAAGGTTTCACTTGTTAAGATATTAATTTTTGCACTGTACTTAGCAATTAAACAGTGTAGTGAGTAGCGCAATAGCTTTGCATGCTGGTGACTGGTGCTACCTTTAGAAACTCTGGAAACGAAAACTATTAGCACCATGTTTGGTTTTGTCTGAAACATGATTACTCTCTCTCTCCTGACATTAATATTATGATTAAATGCAATCAAGTCGTTTCTGAGTCCTGGCAATCACTTGGACAGTGTTTCTCCCATACATTCTGTCTTCTGTTTGGATCTTCAGGCTTCTGAATGGTTTGTTCATGATTCTTCTGACTGTATCCATCCATCTTGTTGCTGGTCCTCCTCATCCTCTTTCACCTTCAGCTCTTAAAGCGTAATGGTCTTCTCCAGTGCATTTGTTCTTCTCAGCAGATATTCGAAAAAAAGAGCTCTAGTTTGGTTATCTGGTCTTTTTTTGTTTTTTGTTTTTTTTTTTCCTGTTAAAGGAACTTTCAAAAGTCTTCACCAACACCAAAGTTCAAAGGCATCTATATTTGTCCTGTCTCACTTATTTGTTGTCCTGCTTTATATCCATAAAGAACCAGAGAACCACAGTCTGGACAATTCTGATCTCAAATCGTTGCATTTGAAGATCTTTTCAAGCTCCTTCATCTTTGTTCTGCCGAGCGCCAATCTGTGTCATATTTCTTCATTGCTGGATCATCTGTTGTTAATAATTGGTCCGAGTGCACTGTTAGAAATAAAGGTGAACATTTTTCGTTTGTCAAGGTCCAAACAATGTAAATGTTCCCTCAAAGGTACAACAGTGGTTTTAAGGTCCAACTGTGAACCTTAAATAAGTTTTTCCAGGTGAAAAGTTCAGATTTGTACCTTTTCATAACCGAATGTTTTAAAACAGAACAGTAAAATAAAAGGCCTGGAGACGAGACGGGGTGTGTGGAGTCAGTACAGCTTAGAACATATCATTTCAGTGGATTATGGTACAGTTATGTTCCCTGACTAAAGGTACTGAGATGAACCCTTGAGGGTACCACCCCAGTGACAAGAGGGGCACTGCCCCAGCGACAGTTTACTACCTTTCTGAGAGTGTAGGTTAAAGCTGTCCACCGTCTCCACATCTTCTCCATCAGTGGTAAAGTTAGCAGTCTTTCCTGTCGTCATAACCTTAGTCATCTTCTGCCAAGGACGCCTCCTCTGCCTGTTCCCTTTTCCCTCCATGGACTGTCTAGAGGACTCCAACTCCCATGAGTCAGTGGGAGATCACATGAATCTCTCCCCATCGCCATCTACCAATGAACATTCGTTCCAGTGCTCTTCCTCACCGGAATTCTAGTTGTCACACCTGTTTGTCATTTCATTTCATTAATTAGACAGTATAATAGCCCAGGCTTTAGTTTGCCAACGCCTTCCATTGCATACTGAGCGTTCTTTGTCTGAGAAGCCTTTTCTGTGTATGACCTGTTTTTTGTGTTTTTGTCTTGCCTTTTTGGGATGGATTGCTTGGTACTTTTGCTCTCTTAGTTTTTCATATAGGACTGGTTTTTGGTTTATCTCTAGATGTCCCTCTTGTTTTGGTTATCCGACTCTCTAGTATTGACCCTAACCTGTTATGACTTCCCTCTTTGTAACGCTCCCAAACTATCAAGTAAACTTAAACCCTTTCTTTTTAACTGTGCGTGTTTGATCTGTGTTGACCTCGTAAACAGTCTTCATATTGAGCTGAAGTCCCATCTTTTCACTCTGTTCTTTAACTGTCCTTATGAAGGCCTTCAGGTCTTCCAGATTTTCCACTATGAGTGTTTTCTCATCTGCATATCGAAGGTTGTTTATGTTTCTTCCACCAATCCTGAATCCTCAATCGCCTTCCTCCAGTCCTGCTTCTCTCATTATATGTTCTCCACACAGGTTGAACAGGTGTGGTGATAGTGGGCAGCCATGTCTAACTCCCTTGCCAATATGGAATCAATCTGTTCGTCCATTTTCTGTCCTGACCGTGGTTTGTTGATTAGTGTAGAGATTCCTCATTAGAAAGACTGTGTGTGATATTAGGGAAATTGTGCAATAGTTTGCACATTTGTTCTTGTCTCCTTTCTTTGGTGTTGGGATATAAACGGACCTCTTCCAATCCGCTGGCCACTGAGTGACTGTAGAATAAAGTGAATTAAATTTTGGCCCATTTAAGAAAAACACATTTGTCAATTCTACGCAAGCTGTCATGTTTCATGTACTGCAACAAATTTAATTTTGTGGCACTATTTTTTTTTTTTAGTAAAACTGAGGGTACAGCCCTGTTGGTCGTTATTTGCAATCGTATGCAAACGTTTGGGCACTCAAGCCTTTTCTAAGTGAAGAAATGTTTACACATCCTCTACAGAGAACACACTTCTGCACATTTTAATGCACAATTACTGTTTATTTGCTGAATTTAACATATTGGGAAAAAAAAATAACAGTGGTGGCACATTGTATATTTAATATATTTTCCAGTATGTTTCACTCAGCAAATAAATAGAAATCATGCAATAAAAATAGCAGAAAATACCATATTTTAGTGTGTACTTTGTAGAAGATGTGTTAATGTATTTTCACTTAGAAAATCAACAACACACGTAATTTGACCAGAGGTGTTCATATGACTATAGATAGATGACTGACATGCTCTGTTTTGATTGGTTGCCCTGTATTGTGCATCACATGAATTGGCAGGGTTAAACTGCTATAGGCTGAATAGGTACATATATGTAAATCAATTGGTTCTCATGACATCACAGAAACAATAAATTCAAAACAGGCTGCTTTTCCAGCTTAGTTTCCATATGTGGACTGTATGAACTGGAGAGTAAATGATATGTTTTAAAACTTTAACAATATTTCATATTGCTTCAAATTCCTTTATTTCAAATCAGCAACGGAAATTCAGTTTCCCATGGCATGGGCACATCCTCCTGACTTTTTTCCACCTTGAATTTATAATCCCCACTGATAATCCATGTTCGCCAGTGATTCTGTCACCATGGTAATGTGTGTGTGGCTGCATGCCACAGCTGGTCGTGAACTGCTATGAGGTGCACTAAGACATGCAAAACCCATGTTTTACCGTTGCGGTCTATGGCGAACGGCGTGTCCTCCGAGGTGATCTGGTAGTTGCAGATTTGACTGTACTGAGGAGAACAGTCCTCATCTGTGGCCTGAACCTGCAGAATGCTGTCGTACACCCGGCCCTCCAGGACAGAGCCAGAGTACTCCAAACTGCTGAAGACTGGAGAAAACTCATTCACATCACCAACCTGCACATGCACCACCGCCCTGAGAGAGAGAGAGAGAGAGAGAGAGAGAGAGAGAGAGGAGAGAGAGGGAGAGAGAGGGAATGTTTAACCCCTTAATATCCCAGATTTACATACTAAGCCTTATTATTTAGTAACTACAGGATTTTTTTTAAGCAAAGAGCTATTCTTAGGTTATAGAAGTGTGACTGCCGGTGGGCTCTGACCATTTAAGGGGTTAAGGGACAATGAAAAATTTCACAATGGCTATATTTGTTGTAAACATGCTTATTTGCATCTTACAGCAGTGCCACAGTATATCAGAGAGTGAGATTTTCTGGTTTAAACGCTCTTCTAATGATGTATCTTGAAGGTGGGAGAAGCCTTTGAAAAACCACAAACACTTTGGGGTGGATAATTAGGGTGGGCTGAAACTTTTCCTGCTATCTGCTAACACAGAAGGAAGACACATAGCCTCCAAAACATCTTCTGAGTTTTGATGATGTCACCATGCACCAGCAGGTGGGGAAAATAATATTAAAAGGGACCTTTTATGCTCATTTTCAGTGTTCATAATTTTATTTTGGGGGCCTACAACAATAGATTTAAAAGCTTCAGTGTTCCAAACACATCTGTCTATCTATCCATCCATCCATCCATCCATCCATCCATGCCACACTTGTGGGCAATAAGGATTGTGTTATGAGATTGCATCATCTTCTAACAAAGGAAAAGGGCTGGAATTCCAACGAGGCATTTCAGGCAGCTGAGAAAAGGTTTCAGTGGGAGAGAGTTACTCCCTCTGGCATATATGACGGCTATATGACTTTACAGACTGTTTGCATGCACAAAAAGCTGGAGGTAAGGGGGAGGAACAGGAAAAATCGGAAAAGCACAAGAGGACCCCTTTAACCAATAACACAGTGTTTCACCTCCCCCATCTATCATGGCGAGAAAATGCTCAGCTAACTCAGAGACCTTCCCTGATATCATGATTCACTCACGTCACAGTACTGAAGAAAAATGCATTATGATTTTCAGTTCATATTGAGTGATAATGTTGATAATCTCACCTTCCTTTGTCTTTGACAAACACAAAAACTCTTCCAAATAACCTGCAGCAAGATTAGGCTAAATTGCTAACGTCCATAGTCCAGCTACTTGAGCAGTTTACACTTAAAGTTCCCATTGTGGAAGTATGAGGGTGTAATTTGTGAGTTCAGATCATGCCTCCAACATGGTGGTGGTAGTATGAGGGAAGACTGACTGAGGGAGGGGGGAGAACTCTGAGAACTTGGGCTGGAGTTCTGTGCAGCTTCTGCCTGTTGCTAGAAGGCCAGACTCCCCTCATAGCTGTAGAGGTGAGAACAGGGAGGAGATGGGGTGGTTCTGGGGATTGCGAACGTTCTGTCACAGGGACAGAAGCTGAGGATGTGAATTTATAGGGCGTTAGATTGGAAGAAGGAGGGGTTAAAGGCATGTTCCTCCCCCTAAACTTCAGTTATAACACAATTACATTCAGCTCACACTTGGATTCATACTGGCCAACTAGCTCTCCTTTAATCATATAGTAAACTAGCGTTGCAGCACAAGCCTAAAGTGAACATAATTATAGCTGATAATTATATACTTGCGAGAGCATACTCCATACAAAACAGAGTAGATGACTGGTGTGGATGGTGGCAATGGGGTAACCGGTCTGTGCAGCAGTCTTGTCCACAAAAAAACCATAAAAAGGTAAAAGTATGGATAATTATCCCATTTAAAGGCAGTTTCCCAGCTTTATTTTACTTTATTCAGCTTAAATTTACCCAGACAATGCACATTAATAAACATTTCTGTGAATGTGCTAGTTTAGCCAACTTGGCTAATTTTCAGCTGGCTACATCACACAGTGTCAGTTTTTTTTGTTTATTTATAGCCAGTGAGGAAAAATGTTTAAAGGTTTATGCTTAGATGCTGTGAAAATAATACAAAACTCACCCTTTCAGAGGTCAACTCAGCCAAAGCAGCAGCGCTACTGGCCAAGGATGCGAATTTGCATGTTAGAATTGAACTCGAAATTCCGTTCACAAAAACTGGATCTTAAGAATAGTGACTTTCTTCAGGAACGCAGGCTTTCCCTACACTCTCCGAATAAAAAAACTGTACCTTTTAGGGTACAAACGCTGTCACTGGAGTGATACCAGTGTTACTTAGGGAACATCATCAAATCATCTTTAGTTGCAGTTATATTTGAAGTTGCTTTGACTCCATATTCCCTGTTCAGTGAGCTCAGCCTGGCCATTAAAACTGACAGCTGCAGGCTGATCAGGCTGCTTTCAGTGTGGCCTTGGAGTGAAGGAGATACACCTGCACTCTGTAACAGAGCTGTTTTAATTACAAACATGCTCTGCAAGAAAATCTCTAGCATCTCCCTCAAGACTGCAGAGTGCAGTAAGACAGAAAAGCTGCCCTGTTTACTAGTAGATAGGATTGTGGTAACACTTTATGTGGATGGTCCAGTATAGATGCTTTGAAGATGCTCACCTTATCTTTACCCAACATTCAACCAAGTCTGTTACATTTAACCTAACTTCATGCATTGTAACCCTAACCTTAAACTCAAGCCAAAACCCAAACCAAACCTTAGTCACTATATTGTGGACGTTTTTTGACAATATAGAAGTTAAATGATTTTTTAAAGGTTGTGGCTGTGTGTCTGTGTCTGTGAGTGGCCTTGAGGTATGAGTACGAGGAGGCCTGCTGTGAGTGGCCTTGTTGGAAGTGTTGGCTGTGACTTGATGGGACACACATACATACATACAGCTGTCTACAAGTCTGTTTATATCATGAAAACATTAAGATTATCACTGGGAAAAGGGGAGAAGTGCATTTGTAGCTGAAATAAATAAAAAAAAAACAAATAAACTATAATATAATAGATGAACCAAGTAAAGTTTAAAGGCTTGAACCTGAGAACGGCCTTGGCCTTCAATGTCTTAAAAAATATATATATATTATTCCCTGGTTTGGAAATAAGGATGGCAAAAATAGCCGTAACTTTTGGAGATATTAGTGTGCAAATCAAAAAGTTTGAAATGTATGGGAAGGGCAGTGAGGAGCCAGGTGTTCCCCCTCCTTGCCCAAAAAAAGAGTATAAAAAGCGTAGATTTTTGAGGGTCCGTCGGTTGTGCTAACTCAAGATTAATGCTTGATGCTGAAAAGCCTTAATCTTCAATAAAGAATTGTGCCTTTTCCTGCCAATCCTGGTGTTGTTGAGTTTATTTTAGTGCTATGTCAGGAGCAAAGCTGCGGAGACATTTTTCCACGACAATATCACGGAAAAACAAACACTTCCCACTTTATTTCCATTAAAAAACTGTTGAAGTGTGGAAACATTGTTAAACATTTCAAAATGTACCATTTACTCCCCAGTCCATAAATAATAATAAAGATTCAAATCTTATAATGTCACAAAAAACAATGCATTTACATATATCTGCATATTCAGTCTAAAGCAGTTTAGCCCCAGCCTTGTAAACCAAAGTTACAAGGAGTGTTTCAGCCCAGACGTTTTGAATGAGGCACAATACAGGACAGCCAATCATAAGTTTATTGACATTTATGACTTTTTTTAATGAAACTACACAAACATCATAAAAGGACCTCAAAGAAACAAAAATAAATGTAAGGTAGGGGCCCAACAGGTTCCAACCCCAACATAACATTACTAAAGAAGTTGGTGCACATTGATAAAACACAGGATGAATGTACACAATTGGCCTGACTGAATGTCTTTGGATTGTGGAAGGAAACCCCCACAGACACAGGGAGAACATGCAAACTCCACATAGAAAAGACTCTGGTTGCCCAGCCGGGGAATCAAAGCCAGGCGAGAGCACTACCCACTGTGCCAGCATGTAGCCCAGGCTGTATGTAGGCCGAATATTATTAAATGGTAGTTCTATGGGTTGGGGTTTGGGTTGAGGTTGAGGTTAGAGTTAGGATTAGGGCTAGGGTTAGGGTTAGGATTAGGTTTTGGGTTGAGGTTAAGTTTAGGGTTAGGATTAGGGCCAGGGTTAGGGTTAGGATTAGGTTTTGGCTTGAAGTTAGGGTTAGGATTAGGTTTTGGGTTGAGGTTAAGTTTAGGGTTAGGATTAGGGCCAGGGTTAGGTTCAGGTTTTGGGTTGAGGTTAAGATTAGGATTAGGATCAGGGTTAGGTTCAGGTTTTGGGTAAGATTGGTAAGGTGAGGTTTTGTGTAATGGAAGTAACATATTAACAACACATCTACTCAATGTAAGTTATGTACCAACAGAACATCTACAAGATATTTACTTCAGTGTATTCAGACGCTTCACTACGGCTACTTCACTGATATGTTGTTGACGTGTTACTGACCATCTGTTAAGTGTTTATTAATCATCTAAAAAGGACCACTCCAAATAAAGCGTTACCCTTGTACCTGTAAACCACTGTAGAACGGAACTGAGAAAGAGATAGAGAGAGAGAGAGGGCGGGATAAGGGAAGGGGTTTCTGTTTCTGAACTAAAGAAGAATGCTTACAGTGGAATAATGAACGCAGTAGAGGCATGATAACATTTTCTAATTTTAAGGACTGTTTTAATTAAACAGCCTCAAATAAAGCCCTGAGGAGATGAGGATCCTGCTCTGTGGTGAATTAGCGCTGCTGTAATTTTTAGAGTAGGAATGGACGTTACTATCAGATGGTGATTAGTTAAAACCACAGTATCAGCGTTCACGCCAGTGTCATAATGAAGAGATATTTAGGCCTGATGTGTTGTAGTAATTATCTCCTGTTATGGATGAGCAGCCACGTTTTGTGGTTCTGCGCTGAATGGAGTTTTTCATCATTAATGGAGTAAAATGAGACGTGCTGTGCAGCGTGGATCTAACACTGCCTTTCACTGCAAAGCTACGGGGGTCTATTTCATAAAGCTACATGCCCTACGCTCTTAGCAAAAAAGGTTCTGTATAGTACCAAAAAAGGTCTATTGGCTTGTAATAATAGGGTTCTTTGAGTAATCATGTTTCTATATAG